GTCTTGTGTTGTGTCTTGTGTTGTGTCTTGTGTTGTGTCTTGTGTTGTGTCTTGTGTTGTGTCTTGTGTTGTGTCTTGTGTTGTGTCTTGCACGACTCAACACAGCAGCGCTGGGTTGAAGTTATTCAACACAGCAGCGCTGGGTTGAAATAAAACGAGGCAGCGCGGCGACCTTCAGCTGATCCGCCATTGATTGCAGGGACACCGCAGTGCACCAGCGCCCCCCCTTGGGGGGCACAGCCCCCCTCACGTGGTGGGGCATGACTACCCCCCCCCCTCTCTCTTGGGGTATGACGTAGGCTAGGGGTACTCTCTCTCTTGGGGTATGACGTAAGTGTTGGTGGGAGGCATGACCCCCTGTGTTGGTGGGGGGCATGACCTCCTGTGTTGGTGGGGGGCATGACCTCCTGTGTTGGTGGGGGGCATGACCCCCTGTGTTGGTGGGGGGCATGACCCCCTGTGTTGGTGGGGGGCATGACCCCCTGTGTTGGTGGGGGGCATGACCCCCTGTGTTGGTGGGGGGCATGACCCCCTGTGTTGGTGGGGGGCATGACCCCCTGTGTTGGTGGGGGGCATGACCCCCTGTGTTGGTGGGGGGCATGACCCCCTGTGTTGGTGGGGGGCATGACCCCCTGTGTTGGTGGGGGGCATGACCTCCTGTGTTGGTGGGGGGCATGACCCCCTGTGTTGGTGGGGGGCATGACCCCCTGTGTTGGTGGGGGGCATGACCCCCTGTGTTGGTGGGGGGCATGACCCCCTGTGTTGGTGGGGGGCATGACCCCCTGTGTTGGTGGGGGGCATGACCCCCTGTGTTGGTGGGGGGCATGACCCCCTGTGTTGGTGGGGGGCATGACCCCCTGTGTTGGTGGGGGGCATGACCCCCTGTGTTGGTGGGGGGCATGACCCCCTGTGTTGGTGGGGGGCATGACCCCCTGTGTTGGTGGGGGGCATGACCCCCTGTGTTGGTGGGGGGCATGACCCCCTGTGTTGGTGGGGGGCATGACCCCCTGTGTTGGTGGGGGGCATGACCCCCTGTGTTGGTGGGGGGCATGACCCCCTGTGTTGGTGGGGGGCATGACCCCCTGTGTTGGTGGGGGGCATGACCCCCTGTGTTGGTGGGGGGCATGACCCCCTGTGTTGGTGGGGGGCATGACCCCCTGTGTTGGTGGGGGGCATGACCCCCTGTGTTGGTGGGGGGCATGACCCCCTGTGTTGGTGGGGGGCATGACCCCCTGTGTTGGTGGGGGGCATGACCCCCTGTGTTGGTGGGGGGCATGACCCCCTGTGTTGGTGGGGGGCATGACCCCCTGTGTTGGTGGGGGGCATGACCCCCTGTGTTGGTGGGNTCACCATCACCAGCACTAGCACCACCAGCAGCATCACCATCACCAGCAGCATCACCATCACCAGCACTAGCACCACCAGCAGCATCACCATCACCAGCACTAGCACCACCAGCAGCATCACCATCACCAGCACTAGCACCACCAGCAGCATCACCATCACCAGCACTAGCACCACCAGCAGCATCACCATCACCAGCACTAGCACCACCAGCAGCATCACCATCACCAGCACTAGCACCACCAGCAGCATCACCATCACCAGCACTAGCACCACCAGCAGCATCACCATCACCAGCAGCATCACCATCACCAGCACTAGCACCACCAGCAGCAACACCATCACCCTGTCTCTTATACACATCTAGATGTGTATAAGAGACAGGTGCAGGGCTGCGTGCAGCACTGCGTGCAGGGCTGCGTGCAGCACGGCGTGCAGGGCTGCGTGCAGCACGGCGTGCAGGGCTGCGTGCAGGGCAGGTGCTGCTCTGTATGCTGCAGCAGTACGAAGAGAGAGCTCATTTCTCAGCAGCGCCGGTGTCTGCCTCTCCCAGCAGCTTCTGGGAGCTCCAGCCACAGCCACAGCAGTAAACGCTGGCAGCCACAGCAGTATCACCATCACCAGCACTAGCACCAGCAGCAGCATCACCATCACCAGCACTAGCACCACCAGCAGCATCACCATCACCAGCAGCATCACCATCACCAGCACTAGCACCACCAGCAGCAACACCATCACCAGCACTAGCACCACCAGCAGCATCACCATCACCAGCACTAGCACCACCAGCAGCATCACCATCACCAGCACTAGCACCACCAGCAGCATCACCATCACCAGCACTAGCACCACCAGCAGCATCACCATCACCAGCACTAGCACCACCAGCAGCATCACCATCACCAGCACTAGCACCACCAGCAGCATCACCATCACCAGCACTAGCACCACCAGCAGCATCACCATCACCAGCACTAGCACCACCAGCAGCATCACCATCACCAGCACTAGCACCACCAGCAGCATCACCATCACCAGCACTAGCACCACCAGCAGCATCACCATCACCAGCACTAGCACCACCAGCAGCATCACCATCACCAGCACTAGCACCACCAGCAGCATCACCATCACCAGCACTAGCACCACCAGCAGCATCACCATCACCAGCACTAGCACCACCAGCAGCATCACCATCACCAGCACTAGCACCACCAGCAGCATCACCATCACCAGCACTAGCACCACCAGCAGCATCACCATCACCAGCACTAGCACCACCAGCAGCATCACCATCACCAGC